GGACCCGGATTGTTGTTGGGGGCGATATGCTGACTCTGTAAACCGCTTAGAGAGGGCTGAAAGCCCTATGAAGCGGTATATAAGCCTAACTATTGCTACTATTGCTATTGAAGTAGAATCCTGCCTGGGGGGGGGGAAAGCTGGCCTGGTGGTTTGCAACTTGCTCCAGAGCAGCTTTCTACTCTTTTGACCCCGCAGCTTCTCTGGGGACTCAGTTCTGCACCAGTCACAACGCGCCAAGTTTCAGCCTTATAGAACCTTGCAAATTTGCCACTGTTTGGCTGTCCTAGAATACGGATTCATAGGAAAAGAGCAGAATATATATTTCCCCAAAGCCAGCGAGCTACTCTTGTTGCAGTAATAAGCAACCATTGTGGTTTATTTAGCAAAGATGTGCAACATGACACAAAAATAACCTCCTCCTTACCAGAGGAACGCAAAGTAATTAGTTCAGTAGATCGTTGGGAAAGTGTCTTGTCTGTTGGGAGGCTAGCCATTGGCTAACATGTATTCTTGCCATAGTGGTGGCGAGATGCAGCTGTGCAAATTAGGCCTAAATTATGCAGCTTTACTACGGGAGGCTTGTGAGACATAACAGCAAATGGGAGAGAACGGATGTCTTCTTTCTGATGGTGCCACATTGCTTGCCTGAGGATGACCCGGACTGCATGTCAATGACAGGAAATTGATGGGTGGGTGGGTACGATCAAGGCAAGGCGGCATACGTTCAATATTTCTGCAATTTCATCCATCTTTTCCAGAAGCAATTCACTCCTTGCCGAATCTTAAAACTGAAATTTAAATTTAATTCTTGCAAATTAGCAGCTGAGGAGGAGAGAGTCCCCAGGCCTCTCCAAAGTCTAGTTCATTGTTTAAATACAAATCTGCTTATGCTGTCGGGGGCAGAGTAACATTTCTGTTTGAATCGATGTTTCAGAGGGGAGGCCAGAGTCGGAGCCTTCCTTTCCTGTGAGGCTTTCTCAGATATTGCTAAACTTGTTTCATTGTCCAACATGTGCACACGATGACGTGCATGACTCCCATTGTCTTATTGCAGCTCCTTTGTTGCTGCCACTGGATCAGGAGCCAGGCAGGTTAATTCAAAAACATCTGGAAAGCACCCCAGGCAGTGGTTTGACAGGGGAGAATTTGGGAGTGGGGGAAGAGAACCTGTGCACATCGTCCTACAGCTGGGGCTTTAGATAGAGTGGGGACAAAGATAGCAAGGCTGGGAGGGGCTCCCCAGAAGGTCTGATTGGAGGCAGAGTTGATGATAAGGTGACTCCTCAGGAAAGGGAGGGGAGACGTTTGGCCCAAAGGAAATTGGTTCTTCCTTGCTGCTCTGTCCTGTCGGGAGATGCCAGTGAGGCTGCCTAGGAATGGCAGGAGGGCATTTGCCAGGTGGGTCTTTGCTGGCATTGTCATTTGGGAAGGGATGCGCTGCCCTCTTTGTATGCGGAGCCTCCCCAGGAAGAAGAGGCGAGCTTTAAGGCTGCATGGTCTGTAAACAGGGCTGTAAGGAGATGTGGGGCTTCTCCTTGCCAGCGTTGAACAAGGGCCTGGTCCTCCGAGGCAGCCTTTGCCCGAGCTGCCACTCTGTCTGCAGGCCGGACCCTGTTGGCTCCGAGGAAGGGGCTGCCCTGCTGGGAGTCGTTCTCGATCAACGGCTGGAATCTAAGTTGTCCTGCTGCGGAATGGCTCTTTGGCAAAGGAAGACCCCTAATTAGAGGCGAAGGCTTTCTGTTTTTGTTCTCCTTTAATCCTTACCCCGAGGCCTCTGCGCTGCAGCCCTGCCTGTGCTTGTGCGGAAAGAGGGCTCCAGTTGTGCTTTGTAATAAGACCTCTTCCCAGTGAATCAGCATGCTAACCTCGAATCTGGGTTGCCTCGACCTGTCCTGGGAACTTCAAGAAAGCCGCTGCTTAACAGCCGGATCGGTGCCCCTGCTCTACTCTGCGGCTGTCTCTTCAAGAAGGCTCCTGTTGGGCATTAGTTGAGGAATGGGCCAGAGGCCCCATGCTGTGCTAACCAGGGAAAGGAGGGCGCCCTTTGGCTGGCCACTTCAGAAAAGACCCTCCTACAACTCACTCCATTCCCAAAGCAGAAGCTCTTCCACCTCACATGATTTCGATGGATCAGGAGTGAAAGAAAATAGATTTAATCAGACAGAGTAATGAACAGAATTCCAGCCCAGATGTGTTTGGCTTGGAAGAAAGGAAAAAGTGATTTTCCCCAGAGACTTGGAGGAGAGGAGACGCACCTCTGAGTGACAGGGGCTCAAGCACAGGAACTGCTTCCTGCGAGGACATCCTCTTTGGTATCTGCCACCGGGAGGGGGGGGCAGTCGTCCCCCCCAGCATCCCTCCTGGTGTTCCACTTACAGCTCTGATTCTGTCATTTAAGTCCCAACTGCAAACCTGCTCTTGAGCCCCCCAGTCTTTCTCCTTGCGGGGTTCCCCTTCTCTCTTGATGTAAAGCCCCCCCCCGCCCCAAGATACTCTTGATCTAGCCAAGGAACTGGGGGAGGGGGGTGGAGGGAGGGGGAGGTCCAGATGCCTCAGGGTACCACCAAGGTTGGCTTCCAGGAAGACTCTCTGGAGGACGGCTGAGCCAGACCAGCTTCGGAAGATGTTGGGTTTAGAATGAGCCGCCCACCTTGGCTCTTCAGCTGTTGGAGTCGCCTTGCCTGCTGCCCCCTTGCTTGCCCCACACCCTTTCCCCCTCCGCGGTTGTGGGAGACCCTGGTGCAGAGGCAGAGAAGGAGAGGATTCAGAAGACATTGGACAGCCATTTTTCTGGAACGGCATAGGAGCTCCAAGTTCCCTTCCAACTCTCTGATTCTGTTATTCTGCTTAGTGGCTCAAATTGTTTGGGGAGGAGGGCCTTCTTTCCCTCTTGGGGGGCAGGCAGGTCTCCCACTCCGGGGGTGGGCGGGCGGGGGAGGGGAGGGGAGGGTTGGTGGGCAAGAGGGGAAGGAGAAGCGGGGAGGCTGCCTCCTGCTCTGGTATGTTTGTGGCTTGGCTGCTTTCATCTCCTGCCAGGGAAACCTGGAAGGTCAGGCCAAGCTGCAACTAAGCTCCGGAGACTGGAGTGCCGGGGAATGCTGGAGCGGAGCCCCACCCACTAGACTGTGGGTGTCACTTTTTGAAGCAGGCGCTAAGAAAGTCCATTCACTGCCCCCTTAGCGGGCAGGGACAGAGGGAGCCCAGAAGCAGTCGGAATTGGACAGGGCTCGCCAAGGAGAGGGTCTGGGAATTCCCCCCTCCCACCATCGGCAACTAAGACACCCAGAGGCTCAGCACCCTTTGAAGCAAGCGGAGTGCCGAGAGGCTGGGCCTCTTCAGCCACAGACAAAATGCTGGGTGGGCTTCAGAGGGGCCACAGAGGGGGTGGGGGTGGCGGCCGATGGCCTGCAGCATTGAATGGCACCCACTCTGCAGATCAAAGCTGGAAATGGGGAGGCTAGAATCTGGCTCAGGATCCAGGTGGGATGGGAGGCCTTTTAGTCTCCAAGTGATGTGCTGGCTGTCATTGTCTGCAATGTTTGGCCTTGCTCGTGAACTCTCCTGCTCAGGGTAAGACAGCTCTTCTTTTCCTGGGGGGGGGGGGGGGGCTCTGAGTTGCCACACACCCCCCCCCCAAAACTACCAGAAGGGAAAAAAGCAAGGAAGGCTCCCTTGGCTCAAGGTTCCCCTCTGGTGACCATAAGCGGTAACAGTCGGAGAATGTTTCCAGGGAGTGTGTGCTGATGGGGAGGGAGTTGTGAAAGAGAGTATGCTTTGGGGGCAATTCATTACTTCTGATGCAACCCCCCCCCCCTTTCCCACTGAATCCTTTTCTTCTCCCCTCCTAGCCTTTATGTTGGGAGGGAGGGAGGGAGGGAGGGAGGAGAGAAGAAACGGAGACACGGAGCTGATCTTAGGCCCTCTCTCTCTCTTCTTTGTAGGCCAAGCGGGCAGTTCAAAGAGGAGCCACAGCTGTCATTTTTGATGTGTCCGAAAACCCAGATGCCATTGATCAGGTATGCAGTTGGTGAGCTCTCTCTCTCTCTCTCTTTCTCTTTCTCTCTCTCTCTCTCTTTCTCTCTCTCTCTCTCTCTCTTTCTCTCTCTCTCTCTCTCAGCAGGTACAGGAAATAATGAAAAATATCCAGTAAAGATTCTCGCATATTGTTGGTGCCCACTTGGGTAAAAAACCCTAAATAACAAGGGCCTACTTTGGCCTGTAGAGTAGAATCAGGGCTCCAATAAATGGTTGCTGACCCAGAGAAAGCCTGTGGTCTGTCGTCCCCCCCCCCCCAATCCTCCCGAACTTTGGAAGCAGGGAGAGCAACCGCCAGCCAGCCCCCTGTCTGCAGGGTTGCATGGTCAGGCAAGTCTGTTCCGGCACATGTGCCTGAGATTTCCTGCTGCTGGGCCATAAGGAGCGGTTTGAATCGGCCCACTTTGGATCACCCCTGATGGCACTGACCGCTCAGGAGTCCAGCTTTGCTTTTCGTACCAGTTGCGGTTCTGGGCTCATCTCCAAAGGTCGTGCCCGTCAGTCCCAAAGGCTCTGCAGATTGGGTGGGAGTGGGGGTGGGGTGGGGTGAGGGTAGAGAGCGCGTCTCCTTTGCGTTCCTGCCCAGCAGAGAGACAGCAGGGGACAAAGGCATTCACGGTGTCTCCTTTCTTGCAGCTAAATCAGGGCTTGGAGGACCCACTGAAAAGACCAGTTGTTTATGTGAAAGGGGCAGATGCAGTGAAGCTGATGAACATTGTTAACAAACAGAAAGTGGCGCGGGCCAGAATCCAGCACCGTCCACCACCAGTAAGTCCTCAGGGCAGGGCAGGGCAGTTAAGTGACCAGACTACCTCTTACTTTAAGTTTCCACACCCAGGTTGTGGTCATAGCTTCCCCTATTTGTAGGGGGAGGGGTTCTGATAGGTCATTTGATGGCCCTTAGCTGTCTGTTCTAGCTCCTCCGACAGGCTCTGGTGCCCCCTGGACTCTCCGGCCTCCGGCCTAGTGGATCGTTCCCTTCAAAGAGTCTTTTCTCCCTGAGTGCCATTAAGGTGCTTTTAAGAAAATCCAAAGAGCATCCAGGCAGCGATCAGCAGTCGCTCACTGTGGCAAAGGGAAGAGTTCGGATAACCTAGGTCTCTTGATTCCCAAAGGGGGCTGTGACCACTCTGGAGGCGGCAGAAGTGGCCAAGGGAGGTTTAACAGATTTTGAGGCTCAATAAGCACATTAGGTACAAGGTCGGGTGGAGGAACAGAGGATTCACCAAATCTTAGGATGGTGTCTATTCAAAAAGGTTGTCAACCAAAGCACCTGCTCTGTCTTTGATGGAGAAAAGAGCAGCTAAAGTGGAGAACTAACTACGGACGGAGGTGTGTTTTCAAATATGACCAGAGGAGGAACTTGGCCAGTTAGAAGTGAGATTTCGGAAAGTACATCTATTTGGCCTGGCATTAGATGGGTTGCCTGGCATCATTTCTGCTCTGGTCTAGGGCTGCAGTCCTATGGGTTCAGCTTCTGCCAGGGCTCATTGACCCATAGCGTTTTTGTACTTGTCGTGGGAAGCGTAGACATCTGGGGAACCCAGCTTTGCTGTGAGAGATTATTAGCTGAGTAATCTCTGGGCATGAGATACTTCTAGGTCTAGTTGCAGGTAACCAATTCAGAAATCTGAGGCAGGAAATCTAATCTGACTTTTTTATCTGCTGCTTCCTCCACCCTCGGTTCCAAAGCAACCCACCGAATACTTTGACATGGGGATTTTCCTTGCCTTTTTTGTGGTGGTCTCTCTGGTTTGCCTGGTTCTTCTCATCAAGATCAAATTGAAGCAGCGTCGCAGCCAGGTAAGAGCCAGACAGACCCCTCCCCCCCGGCCGTTTCCTCCGCCTCTGTTTCTCCCTTCGGTACCGCCTGAAATCTCAGCTGGAGGTTTTGGGGCAGCGTTAGACGCTCTCCTAAGGAACTGTCCTGCAGGACGGCCTTGAATATTTGGGGCAGGACCATTAGCTCCAGGCAACCTGGAAAATGTAGTGAGTTACGCAGGTTGAAGCCTGAAACGTGTGCAGGGCTGTTGCTTCCCTAGCTGATTCCAGCCAGGAATAGCCTCCTTCCCCTTTCTTGATGGAAGGTGACCGGGAGTTGGCCGCCTGAGTCGGGCTGCTCCTGGCTGCCCTCTGATCGTGAGGCTAAGAACTGCTGCCGCTGGCCATCGGCAGCCTCACCTGGATGTCTCCTGTTGCAGAGCTCCATGAATAGGCTGGCTGTGCAGGCGCTGGAAAAGATGGAGACTCGGAAGTTCACATCGTCCAAGTTGAAGGGGTCCTGCGAAGGCAGCTGCGGTGCCCTGGACACGCTCAGCAGCGGCTCCACCTCGGACTGCGCCATTTGCCTGGAGAAGTACATGGATGGGGAGGTGAGGCACTAGAGGAGGCTGGTCGGTTTTTCCGTATTTCTGGATGGCTTGGGCAAGATCAGTCAGGTAAGGTGGCTCGTGTCCCGGGTCACCTCACGCAGAGCCGCCTGGGTATGAGGAGAGGCCTCGCCTGTTCCCTATCCTTTGGCCACCGTCCTCTCACCTGGGCAAGCGAAGCAGGGTGTGTTCTGGGCGGGAGTTTCCTGGCAAGGCTGTGTGAGGAGAGCAGGCAGGAGCCTTTCAGCTGTGATGTTGTTTCTGCAGGAGCTGCGTGTGATTCCCTGCACCCACCGGTTCCACAGGAAGTGTGTGGATCCTTGGCTTCTGCAGCATCACACCTGTCCCCACTGCCGTCACAACATCATTGGTGAGTTGCCGGAGCTTCCCTCGGCCGTGTTCTGGAAGGAAAGGGCTCCAGAGTTCAGATCTGCCAAAGGCTCATCCGCCTGCCAGGGATAGATGGGCTTCTGGCTGGCAGGCAGTGTTTACCTCTCGGGAACTGGAGTCGACTCTCTCCAAGTTTGGTTGAACACCCCCCCCCCCTCCTCTTTCACATGCAGAGCAAAAGAAGGGAAACTCCAGCCTGGTGTGTGAGGAGATGGCCAACCAGTTACACAGCCGGCAGCAACAGCAGCAGCAGCAGCAGCGTGTGATTCTGCCTGTCCACTTCCCTGGCCGAGCACACAGGGGGGGTCACGTCACTGCCTACCCCACCCGCACCAGCATGGACCCCCACGGGAATGCCATCACTGTCTTGACGGTCGATCGGCATGGAGAGGCCCCAGCCTTCTTCCGGAGCTACCCGCCCATTCTGCACCTGGAACCCCACCCTGGCACAGTCGAGCGCCAGTCCTGCCCAATGCCTCACCCTTTCCAGAGGCCAAAGTTCAGCGGGGACCCTTTCTCCAAACCGGCTTGCTTCTCCCAGTACGAGGCGATGTTTCAGCACTACTATTTCCAAGGCCTTAGCTACCCTGAGCTACCACAGAGCGGTCAGTTCCCCCTCCACGTGGCGGCCAAGGGCCCCTCCCGTGCCTTCCAGCCTCTTGGCAGCCACAGGCTCTTCCCCCCTGCGGTCCACATCGCCCCTTCCGCCCAGCCAGAGAGCGGCAGCGCTTCGGGCTTCAGCTGCTACCATGGCCACCGCTCAGTCTGCAGCGGCTACCTGGCCGATGGCCCCGGGAGCGACAGCAGCAGCAGTGGCCGCTCTGCCCGTTGCCACTGCTCCTCCAGTGACTCCGTGGTGGACTGTGCAGAGGTCAGCAACCAGGGGATCTACGGGAGCTGCTCCACCTTCCGCAGCTCCCTGAGCAGTGACTATGACCCCTACATCTACCGCAGCAAAAGCCCCTGCCGGGGTGGGGAAAAAAGGAGAGTGCTTCGTGGGGAGGTGATGCACCCGGAAGGTTCCTCTGCACTACACCCGGTGGCAGGCAAGAGCCAACCGGGACCAGCCGCCGCAGCAGGGGACCAGCTGTCTGACTGCAGCCTTGAAATGAATTGCAGCAGCAGCAGCAGCAGCAGCAGCAGCCGCTCTTCGCTGGAGCAGAGGGAACTCGCCTGCACCCTCTCTGAGCGAGGCGGCCCCCGAGTGCCCCCTGAGACCACTGGAGAGACCGGTCAGATTGGGAGGGAGCCTTGTGAGCGAGCATGTGGCTGCTGCTTGGAGGTACATGCCGCTCCAGGGGAATTGCCAAGTAGGACAGCTGGTGGCAGCAGCAGCACGCTGCTTCAGGGCATGCCACTTTGGACAGGGGGTGGCTCTTCGCGGGAGCCCCAGACGAGGAGAGGTCAGGGCGTGGTCAGCGTTAGGACACAGGGGGTCCCTCATGAAGCATTGCCCTGTTGCTTCTACGAAGAGCAGCGGGTGGCCAGCAGCGGACCCATCTGGCCAGGCCGTTACACGGAAGACACTGCGGTGAATGTGCGGTACGTGTGCGCGGAGGACCCCTTGCAAGGCTGCTTTCCGGGCCTGCGTGAGGCGGGCCAGTGCGTTGCCATCATTCCTGAAGTCCGGGACTCCGAGCAGGCCCTGCCGGTAGATTGCTATAGGGGCAGCAGCCCTTGGGAGGGGCCGTGTGGAACTGCAGCCCCCAGTCAGGCTCAGGGGATGCCCGTGAAGGCATTTTGCAGGCCAGGAGAGATATGGCAAGAAGGATCACGTCCGCCCATGGCAGGCTTCCCTCTGGAAGAGTCCTGTGGGTTCTTTTCCAGCCCTCCGCAAGGTTGTTTGGAGGCCATGGCCGCTGGAGAAGGCCCTCAAACTTTGGGTAAGTTAGCTGCACCATCTTGGCTGGAGGCGGGGTGGGTGAGCCAGGGAGGGAAGGGTGGCGCCTTTGTTCGGCCAAGCTGGCCAAATGCCTCCTGAGTACTGCAGGGGGCCAATTCAAGCTTGTCTTGGCCAGGTTTGGGCTCCCTTGAGCCTCAGAACAGTATTGGCTGTAGTGGGGATGGCCCTGGAGAGCAGCCGCTCGTTGTACCGGCACAAGATCTGACCCGGAGGGGCTAGGATGGGGAGCTTGGACAAGATTCAGGAACAGTTTCATTTTTTCAGGCTGCTGTTCCCCAGGGCGGTATCGGGCTGGGAACTAATCGGAAGAGCCTTGAGGCAGCTGCGTTTCTGCTGGACTTCAAAGCCTTCTTTCGCTTGTGTTGACACAAGAGTGACCCCGAGAAACCGGGTCTATGTGCCCCCGTCTGCCATGCATGGCGTCCTTGGCAGACCACGTTGCCTGGGGACAAGAGGCCCGGTTATGCAGCCTGGCGTCCTCCTTCAGTGCCAGGGGATCCAGCCTGCCTTAGAAAAGAAGCGGCAGTTTGAAGTAAACGGAGTCCGAGGGGCGGAGGCCACCTGCCTCTTCGAGCAAAAGCAGACCACTCCTTAAGCCTGACTGCGGTGGGTGGGAATAGGCCCGAGTGGAGGCCAGTTGCAAGAGTGCCTTCCGCCTGTCCTGATGCTGCAGTTGCTGTGGGTTCTGCCCGAGCCCTATCCTGCCCCCTGCTCACCAGTCTGCTTGCCAACCTGCCCTGGGTCGAGACCTTCAGTCGAGGTCCCTCCCAATCGCCCCTGGGGTACAAGCACGTTTCCACTTCCTTCCCCTTGTTAATAGTTTCCTATGGAAACAGTCCTTCTGGCTGCTGCAGCCACAGCCACGTGGTTCCCTACGCCCTCCTGCCCTCCGTGCGGCTGAGACCACGACCGTTGCCGTGTTCGGCATCTGGGATGCTGTTCCTGTTCCTCCGTGTGCCTGGCTGGAGAGTTGGGTGGAGGGCTTTTTTTGTTTAAAACAAGGAAGGTGCCTAGATTCCCCTCGGGTTTAATTTGTTAATGAGTCAGGATGAGCAAAGGTACTTCCTGAACTTTTCAGTTTCTGCCCAGTTTATGAGAAAGGGGATTTTATAAAGAAAAGATTTCATAATTATTAGTTGTACTAGAGTGACATGATGAAATTCCTTTCTGAGCTTCGATCCTTCTCATTCTAACAGTGTGTGCTTGTGACCATGTTCATATTGTGCATTTTCGGCACAAGCCCTTGTGGCTTCTGCTCATGCCTTTATTAAGGCTGCTTACTGTTCAGAAATCTTTCTTCTCATCACCAATACGTAAACTATGTTTTACTTCTATTTCTGCTTCCCTTTCTGGTTATTTACTTTTGTGACAGCAGTTTCTACGCATTCCACTTCTATCGTGTTTTCCAAAGTATTTTCTAAATCGTCTGCCTGCTTTTAGGTTTTCTCCAAGTCCTACATAAAATATTGTAGTGGTTGCATTTACGTAGCATTTACGGTTGTGGGCATGAAATATCTTCCAGCAAGTGGCGCCATATCTCTGAGCAGCACCTCCAGAAGTGAGTTCCTAGGCCCACAATGGCCAGATTCTTAAGATCCATCCAGTTGCCTAGTTACATAATCAAAAATGGCTGTCTCGCGGAACAGCTGTCCTGGGGATTGTGGTTCTCAAATGTGTTTTCCAGTGCACCTTGGCTGGAGAATGGAGTTATTTTAACTCACACGGTAGAGTCCTGCGTCTGAAAAATTTGCTCCAAGTCGGTGTTCCCTTGTGCAGTTTCCGCTTGGGTTGGCAACTGGAGGGGAGGGAAGGATTCCTAGACACTAACCAGCTTTTTCTGGCACAGCTGGTATTTCTCAATCCTGATGGTCTCAGTGCACCTCCCCCTTCTCCCACTCAAGTTTAGTAGCCAGCACTTGCTACTTCAGTGCCTTCTCCCACCTTTGGTCCTACCACACACAGTTTTTAAGCAGCTCCTACCTCCCCAAGTGTCGGTGACTGGTCTTCGTAGATACCCGGGGGAGAAGCTTTTACAAGCTTTGCAAGTTATAGCTGGCTTCCTGGATCCAGCGTAGGTGATCTCCCTGGAAGAGAAGCTGCCTCTTTGCCTGGGGACGAGTGGTGATGGGCAAGGGAGGCAGAGCCTCCAATTTCTGTTTCAGGCTTTGGGGATCGAATAAGAACAATTAACCCATCAGATGTTTCCAATCCCCATTTCTTCATTCATTTTTCATTTCTGAAAAGAAACACATTACTGCAACGCTGCCATTTTGTTGCTTAATGTCGAGGGCAGTCTTGCAGTGCTGGGGTCCTGAGCTGCAGGCTCTGAATCGCTCACCAAGTTTGGTGCATATTCAGGATGGATGCTGGCATTTTCTAGTCCTTCCGGCTGACTTACATTTTAACTCTTAACCTATACCCGGCACACGGTATAAGAGCTGTGGTTCTTTTTTGGGGTCTATATGGTTAATTCTATCCAGACCTAAAGCTCTACAACAACACATGCCTTGCTGTTGAAGGAGACATGCTGCCCCCCCCCCCCCCCCACTTCCAAAATCTTTGCACAGATACCAAGATGACACTCAAAGGAGTACAGAGAACCTCCCTGCCCTTCTGGATGACTGGATGACCAGCCCTAACCTTGCCCTAACCGTCTGGTTGATAAGCATCCCTGAAAGCGAAGTAAGCTATCGGCAGAAGTCGGAGCTTCTTCGACACAATGTCCTTCAGCCGATGAAAAGCAACTTGAGCTCTCTTTGATCCCTAAACTTCTTCGCGTGTTCATTATCTTTTATAGAAAAAGTAGTTTCCTGTTGCCTATTGGGCATCCCATCATGACAAATTTTTATAACGGTCAGTACAGTATATGTTTTTATTCTAAAAGGCCTTTTTATCAAAGTAATTGCCACTACGATGGGCTTGTGAGGCACTATTTTCAAATAAATGTTTTTTTTTAAGAAAATGAGATTTCTGTAGCACTTAAACTGTTTTGTATAAAATGTACTGTAAAGGTTTGTAAGATGGTTAAAGGGCTCTTCTCCATTACCAGTTGTATTGTTTTTAACGGTAGAAAACAACTTGTTTCTATTCTGTATGTATAGCAGCACATTTCATTTATGGAAAGATGTTCTCAGAATATTTATTTACTAATATATTTATCTTAAGCCATGTCTTATTTGAGCGTGTAATGTTATAAATAAAGAAAAATCGGGAATCACTAACAGAAAGCAATGTAAATACAGATTTCACAATGTTTGCTGACCAAAAAGTGATTTTAAATCAAGTTGTAACTGCAGTTTTGTAACAAAATGTACAAATGTCTGTTTAAAAACAAAACCTTTTAAAAAGCCGACCGTCTAGCTTGATGATTTTCCTGGACGCGGATGGGGGGGGAGGCAGCGCGCCGCCCCACAAGCGGAGAAGCCTGTATCCCGGCTTCGGGGTGGATTCTGTCAGGAGTAAAATCTCAACTCCAAAGTCGTTGGAATACAAAGCAATTTTATTGAAGCCTTCGCAAAGGCTAGTGGATCTCAATACACACAGGTAAGACAGCACACCGGTTACAGATCTCAGCATATTTTACGCATGCCTATCACCGCCGAAGCTATACGCTAGTCTACATTGCAGAAAGCCTACAAGGCCTGGAGGAACGTCGTCCGTGATGGGTCGGACACGAGTTCGCAACCAACAACAACATTGTGCATCACAGGGCCGCAGTGGGCGAAACCAGGCGTCCCTCCCTCGCTGCTCCCGTGGCTCCTGGCAGTCCTTTCCCCATAGCTGCCCTCTTCATCAAAGGGGGCTCGCTCTGAGGTCCCGCGCATCGACAGTACGGACACGGGCACCGCGGAGGCACCAAAAGCAACCGCGTAGCTGGAAGGTCGTTTTGAAAAACAAAACAGGAAGGACAATGTGCTGATAATCGCCCCCCCCCCCCCCGGCTTTCACCCACCGAGAAGCGAAGTCCCAGAGTGCAGAACGGCAGCAAAAGCACCGCTGCTCTACGCTCCTCCGAAAGTAACGAAGTTGGCCTTCGCACGGCCGCCGGCTTCTTCATCTGCAGTCATCTGTAAGAGACCTTCCCGGGATGGCGGACTTCCTGCCAATTCACCGCGACCCTCTCCCCAGTGACCTTCCTGCCATGGCCGAAATCCGGTCTATTCTTCTTAGTCATCCCTCCAACTTCCTTGCGCAGCGACCTTCTCGGCATAGCGGACTTCCTGTCCGTTCACCGTCGCCGACCCCCATTGACAAACGACCTTTCCATAACGACTGACTTCCTGTCCAACTTTCATAGTCATCCCCCTACTTCCTACTACCACGATAAAGTAATATCGCGATAGCTTCAACACTATTACTAAAAGACAGAAAACAGTGCCCTCGTGTGGTCCAAGCAGAAATAGCACCCGCAAAAAGAAAAACGGCGTTTTAAATTTAGAATTCTTTACTATTAAAACATTAATATCAATAGGCCACCATAGGTCTTCTTAAATCGGTTAAAGGCTTTTGAAGCAGGAATTCGTTTCCTCTCTTGCAGCAAAGTGGCTTCCTGTAGCCCTATTAATCAGAAGTTAATAATAAAGATGCAGGATAATAACCTTAAAGGATTCTTTCAAGGCCATTTCAAGGCCATTTTGTTCTCATATCAATATAGTATAATAGCAGGAAGGAACCTTGGAGATCTTCTAGTCTAACCCCCTGCCTAGGCAGGAAACCCTATACCGTTTCAGACAGATGGCTATCCAACATCTTCTTAAAGACGTCCAGTGTTGTGGCATTCACAACATCGCCGTCTAGTGGTGAAAGAAGGAACAGCAGTCCTTAAAAGTTTTATCTTTCAAGAAGAGCAGGGAACCGTTTAGGGTTAGGTTAGCCCTTTACTCAACTGACCACATGGTATCTGAGAACTCAACCAAACCTGGATTCAAAACGCAGCCTAGAGAGTTGTCCCTGCATGGACCCATGGGAGTCTGACAATCAGTCAGAATACAAGCTCAAGATCAAAGGCCAGAGAGGGGATAAAACCAGAGACTCAGGACTTCTGT